CATCCATCCCATCCATCACAGTCATTAGACACTCACCGCCTCGGCCTCGACAATGCGGAAGGGAAGGTCGCAGGTGACCACCAGCTTGGCGATCGGCTGCCGCAGCTCAACCTTATAGAGTTTGGTCGTTATGTAGCGCTCGATCCCGCCTGACCCCTCCTCCCCCCGCCCTGCCCTCCATTTCTTCTTTGGGATATTCGACCAGCTAGTGGCATGCGGCCCTTCATGGACGTAGCCATCCGGCACCCCCTTGTAGCCCCCTCGTGGAAACGTCTCGCCAGGCAATAAGACGTGATAACAATGGTACCAGACGTCCATGTGAGTTGTGTGCCAGTTCTTGAAATGACGCTCGCCCGGTGTTGGAGTGGACCCCTTCCATGAGATACTATCAGTACAAATCTTGCACTGCCGCTTGTAATCAGCCCCGATACACACTCCCGACTCGTCAACACACTCAGGAGCGGCCACACCCTCTCCCAAGCTCTCCCTCGTGAAGGTGCATGGAAAGGCTCTCGGTCGCAACTTGGAAGCTCTCTTTTTCCGCTTCGACTTCCCAACCCCGCCCTCGGCTCGTGGCCCCCCAATGGACGGCTTTTTTCTCCCCATCTTCTCCCTCACGCGCCCACCTCCTCCACCACCATGCTGTGAGGAGGCCGCCTTCGCTACCCCTCCTCCCTCTCCAACCCCCTCCTCCCCCTCTGGCTCTAACCCATCCATCTCGTCGTCCTCATCTCCCCCCCCCCATCCCCACCGCCACCCCCCTCGCCATGCGTCTCGGGTTGCCACTCCTGCTCACTATCATCCCTGCTCCCCTCCTCCTCCTCATCCTCCTCGTCGTCACCCTCCTCCTCACTGTCACTATTAGTGGTGGTAGTACGCGTCTGCCCCGAAGGAGGTGGTCGAGCTCTTGAGTAACGGAACGAGAGACGTGATCCTGGCAATGGCACGGACAGAAGCCCCCCAACAAAACAAGCACCGGCTGTCGCAGGACCGTCACCTAATCGCTCCTGCATAGGTCGTGCTGGAGACGTAGGAGCACCACTCTGACTACATACTGCAGCTCGGTCGGCTGGTGATTGTTGTTGGGGGGAAGCCATAACCCTAAACGGCTTAGCAAACCTAAACCCTAAAATGCTAACGGTAGTGACCGTGACTGTCACCAATGGGTACTAATGTGCCCTTAACCACGTGTAGAACCTCCCTAAATCGAATGCCACGGACGGATTTCAGCAACTACATGTGGAAGGTACGTTCCCAACCCTTTACGCTTGCTATGAAAGTAAACCTCAGGTTCTATATGTTTCCTCCATCCTATTACTAGGCAATGTACTCAAAACTAATTCATGATGGAGTATTGCTGCTCCTATTCCTCCTAGCTAAGGGTGGTAATGGGCGTAAGGGCGCTGGCGCTAAGGTCGCGAAGTGTTTGGGTTAGAAAAAATGAGCTCAAACACAAAGTCCCGCGACCAAAAAATTGGTCGCGGGTCATTTCGTCGACGAACACATTTGTGTTCGTGTTCGGTTCGGCTCGACCTTCAGTAGCGGTCTGAACATTTTAGCCCAAAAAAAAACCTGTTCGGGAACATGCTCAAGCCTACCGCGGAGGCCACAGCGCCCTACTCCTGTTCTCGGCACATTCCAAACCCTCCCCCACCTTTCCTCTCCCCTGCCCCCCTCCCCCCCCCCAGGTGTCCTAAGTGGTGCGCATGGCACCCTTCCAGTACCACCGAGCAGCGGAGCTCACAGCCCACTGTCTCCTTCTGTTTCGTCAACCCTGCTTCTCTCCCTCCCTCTCACCTTCCCCCCAACCCCCCTCTTCCCCCCTTTCCCCCAGGTGTCCTATGTGGTGCGCATGGCCCTCTTCCAGTACCACCGCGCTGCGTATCTCACATCCTCCTGCGACGACTCAGTGGACGGCATCTGTCTCGCTCCGGGCGCCCCCAAGCCCAAGGAGATCAACGGCGCTGTCATTGGCGTGTTCGGGCAGTGCCTGCTGTCCGCACAGCCCGATAAGCTATCGGAGGGGTGCCGCGCGCTGGTGCAGGTGGCAGGGAAGGAGGGCGCGTATGTGAAGGGCGGGCTGGACCAGGCCAAGCTGGACGAGGCTCTGGCGAAACTCAAGGAGGTGAGCTGATTGCTGAGTGGACTCAAGGTCTGGTGTATGTGACATGACAGGGAGGGAAGGGGGCTTTATGACGTGTGGGCTGGACCAGGCGAAGCTGGACGAGGCTCTGGCGAAACTCAAGGAGGTGAGGAGGGAAGAGTGGGAAGGGTGGGAAGGGTGGGAAGGGTGGGAAGGGTGGGAAGGGTGGGAATGGTGGGAAGGGTGGGAAGGGTGGGAAGGGTGGGAAGGGTGGGAAGGGTGGGAAGGGTGGGAAGGGTGGGAAGGGTGGGAAGGGTGGGAAGGGTGGGAATGGTGGGAAGGGTGGGAAGGGTGGGAAGGGTGGGAAGGGTGGGAATGGTGGGAAGGGTGGGAAGGGTGGGAAGGGTGCGAAGGGCGGGGAAGGGTGTGGAAGGTGGGCGGGGAAGTGTGGGAGGGGTGAGAAGGGTGGGAAAGAACTCTGGCTGTAAAGAGGAAAGCGTTTGACGGGACAAAGCTGGATTAGGTGCTGTTGAAGCTGAAGGAGGTGAGTGTGGGACAGAGATAAACGGGGGGGCTTGTGAGAGGCGAGTGCTTTGATGTCGGAGGCGAGTGCTTTGATGTCGGAGGCGAGTGGAACTACATAGTACAGATTTATAGGTTGATACGCAGTTTCTGTTCTCTTATTATTCAGCCCACATGTTACACCTTAGTTGGCATTTTACGTTTACGGTGGTTTACGTGTACGTGACTTTACGTAGTAAACTTACGTTTACTTAAGTGGGCCCAAAACGGCTTTACGTTTACGGTCAGCCAGAAACATTTCTGGCTGCCCGGAAAGATAAGAATTTTTATCGCACTAAGTGGCTGCATGGGAAGCGCCTAATCAATCACTAGCTTGGTTCTTCTATGCCCAAGCATGCTAGCACATTATTACATCAACTTACAGATGTCACAGCGTCTCCCACCTCAAATCAGTCAGATTTTTCCATTTCGCAGCCAAAAAAACATTGTTTGCCCTGCCCGTGCGACTTTACGTAAAATGACGCGTAAAAAAACGTAAAGGTAAACTCAAGCGTAATTTTACGTTTACGTGACCCTAAAAAACGTAAAGTACCAAGTTACACCCCCCTGTTCCATCCCGCTCACCCTTCACCCCCACCACCTGTGTGCACCAGCTCCCTGCGGCAGCTGCAGCAGACGGGTCGAGTGGCAAGTCCGGGCTGGTCATTTCAGGCTGGCTGGCCTTCGCAGCTCTGGTGGCCGTGGTGGTCGTTGCTGTTGCTGCAGGCTTTGGCATTTACCACAAGTATTTCAGCCCCACTCGCAACTACACCTTGGTCGTCAAATCAGCCCCCCCAGGCACTGTTTAGGTAGTGTTCAGCTCAAATACCAGACAAGATATCTGGAGTCCATGTCTCTCTTAATGTAACTTATTTGTCTGGCACAACCTTTGTTGGATTCAGGGAGCTTAATTGTCCGAAAGGGCATGGAGTAATGCTCTGCAGTGCTGCAAGGGTGTTGTCAGTTGTATCTCAAATATTTTTTTTTATCTGTCCGTTGTATTGGATTTCCCTTCTAGGAGGGTCTGGTCCTTAACGAAGCTCACTTTGGTTGGGGCTCCGTGCCTCCCGCTCACTTGGCTTTCGCACAAACGCGTACCCAAGTCAGATAGAACGTACGGTACCAGCAAAACGCATACCTACCAGATTTCAACATCACCTGGTGGCAAGGCGGCCAGGTAGTAGTTGACTCTTATGCGGTGGGTTACGATTTTAGGCGTTTTTATGCGGCTCATTGACATCTCAAAACTCTGATACGGTGTGAAACAGAATCACAGGTGTGGTGTGGGGAGGGAGTTGCCGCTGGTGCACGAAGTTCCCGAGGCGCCTCTATTGCGCGGGCGACAATAATTCTCGCCGCCAGGTTCTCGTTGAAGCTACTCGGTGCGCCCCTTTCCACCAATCAGTTGCACGCACTCCGCCCACCTTTCCTTCCCCCATCCCCCCGAATGCTCAGCGCGTGCGTAACCTTGCGGGCGCTGACATCCGTCACTGCCGCTGGGGCGGCGGAACACTCAATTTCAAAAAGCAGCAAGTTTCAAATCACTCACTACGGTTCTAGCTGGTGCAGTACATTCGAAAGCGCTGACAGAAAGATAACGCGATTCACCGTGTGGAAACTTACAAAACCACACTGAACGACCAGCACATCAGACACATCTCAAGCACTGCATGTCGGTTTCAAGGTGGATGTGAATGGGTGTTCAGGAGGAGTCGAGCAAACCGCAGCAAATCAATAGCAGCGCCATTATTTTCTGGTCTGGCTACTAGGAGCGCGTCGCATCCAATAAGCTTGCAAGGCGAGCTCTCGCATAATGGCGTGTTTGTTCCACCAGTGCTCGCAACATGAACCTCTCGTATCACCGCTAGTAGGATCGCTTGTTAGGCAATAGTGTGCACTCGTGACGTTGCATTGCTATTAGATTCAGATTCTAAGCTGCGGGGAGTGGAGTTAGGTGTTGTTTACAACTTTGGCACTGCGAAAGATAGTTTGTAGTCGGGGCTTCGGCCACGAAGTACAGGCTTCCTAGTTATCGAGTTCACAGCCATCAGAATTTCCACCCACTCTCTGTAATCAAGCTGGACCGGAAGCAACCGGCGAGGAACTTGCTTTCGCTCATTCCAACACCAAGGAACCGCTCAGAATCCCAGTGCACCGCATCGAAACGCGCGGCAGTGTAGCCGTCATGGTTGTCCCGGAGACCCCCGAAGAGCAGCTCTTACCAGTGGTAACCAGGGCCTCGGGGGACCCGAAATCCGTCCAAAACGACTCCCAAGGAGTCATGACGCGGTGGGAAACAGGCTCGGTCTCAAAGCATAAGTCGGAATTCTGCTTCGGTTTTAGGGATTGGAGAAGCATGTCGCGTGGGGGCGCGGACGCGCGCAAGTCTACGGCGGGGAACGCGAGCGCGGACCCGTCGACGGCGTACTGGGCGCTGTTCCGCCTGGCGCTGCCGTCCATCCTGCTGCAGAGCGGCGTGCCCCTGGCGATCACGGTGCAGACGGCGCTGCTGGGTCGCAAGGACACGCAGCTCGTCGCCGCGTGGGCCGTCGTCGCCAGTGAGTTCGCAGAGACCTGGCGATCGACTTGCTTTTCTTTGGGTCAGTTGAGCGTGATGAGAGCATGGGGATGCGCGCGCGGGGCATGGGGATGCGGGCGCGGGGCATGGGGATGCGCGCGCGGGGCGTGGGGATGCGCGCGCGGGGCATGGGATGCGCGCGCGGGCATGGGGATGCGCGCGCGGGGCATGGGGATACGCGCGCTGGGGATGGGGATGCGCGCGCGGGGCAAGGGGATGCGCGAGCTGGGCATTGGGATGCGCGCGCGGGGCAAGGGGATGCGCGAGATGGGCATTGGGATGCGCGCGCGGGGCAAGGAGATGCGCGAGCTGGGCATGGGGATGCGCTCGTGGGGCGAGGGGATGCGCGCGCGGGGCGCGGAGATGCGCTCGCGGGACGCGGGGATGCGCGCGCTGTCCCTGGGATGCGCGCATGGGGCGCGGGGATGCGCGCGTGAGCGTGGGATGCGCGCGCGTGGGCGTGGGTATGCGCACGTAGGGCGTGGGGATGCGCGCGTGGTGCCAACAGATGCTTCGGTTGCCTTCATCTCCCGCCTCCTCACTTCTCAGATATCTTAAGCTTCTCTCTTCTCCATCACCCTCATTCGTGTTCCTCTCTCTCCTTGCTCCCCTCCCCCTCTCCTTCACTCACCTCCCTTTCCTCCGACTCTCCCCCTCTCCCTCACCCCTCCCCCCCCCTCCCCCCGGTCGCCCCACCGTGCAGCGGCCACGAATGCAGCGACGGTCATTTTCAACTTCCTGGTTGTCGGCGTCACAGCCAAGGTGGGTGGCAAATAAGGTGGGTGGGTGGTAGCCTGGTAGGTAAGGTGGGCGGCGGAGGCGGCTGCTAAGGTGGGCGGCAGCTAAGATGAGCCGCAGTTAAGGTGGGTGGCAACCATACCCACCCGCACCTCGCTGCTGGCCCTCTCTTCTCTGCCACCTTCTGCACCTCGTTTCGCCGTCGTCCCATGTCCCTTGCGCCTTGCCTCACGCACCAAACATCTGTCGCGTCGACTGAATAGCCGCATCTTGTTCCGCCCCTTCCCTTGGCCCGCCCCATTTAAAGCCCACGCAAAGCAGCAGCAACGTGACTTTTAATTCGACTCAAAAGTCCCCTCGGCCGTTGCCCTATTTTGGGACCGCTGCGCCACTGGCCTTTATCGAATGGTTGTGGCTCCTGTCCGTACCTCCCAGGGGCTGCTGTGCGCGTTGCCCACAGCTTCCTCGCTATAACCCTCCCTTCCACTTCCCCTCTTCTGTGCCTCTCTCTGCGCTGCTCGTCTCTGCGCTGCTCGTCTCTGCGCTGCTCGTCTCTGCAGGTCACCAAGGTGGTGGCAGTGGGGGCGTGGGCGCAAGTGGGGGTGCGGATCCGCCTTGCATTCGCCATGGCTGTAGTCACCAGTGCACTGGCCGTGGCGCTGCTGCTGTGCTCACAGGGGCTGCTGTGGGCGCTGCTAAGGGACTCGCCCTCCGTGCTGCAGTACGCTAAGAGTTACTTTTACTTGAGTCATGGGCGTGCCGCCGCAGCTGCTGGTCATGTGCACTTCGGGCGTGCTGCAGGGATACAAGGTACAAAACACTTCAAACTATGGGTATATGTTACACGGTAGTAGTATGGTACTTCAGTTCAGTTCAGACTGGAGATTCAAGGGGTTAAGGACACAGGGATCGATGTGAACAGTTCTTATGAAACGACCCCATCTTGTCCCTTTTTTTTATTTTTAGGTTTCATTTTCTTGTCCCCATCTGCCCTTCACTTCCCATTTCTGCCCGTTCTCCTCCGTTCCGTCCTTCCAGCACGTGGCGCTGGTGGCATGGCTGCAGGCAGCTCGAGCGCTGCTAGATGTTGCAGCCTCCTACCTCTCCCTCTAAGTCCTTGACTGGTGCATTGTGGGCGTTGGTATCGGCACTTTGCTCATTTTGTTTCTATTTCTGACACCCATTTTCTGCCCTTCCCTCCCCATCTCTCCCCGTTGCCCTCTGTCCCATCCTCTCAGCACGTGGCGCTCGTGGCATGGCTGCAGGCAGCACGAGCGCTGCTGGACGTGGCAGCGTCCTACCTCTCCCTCTACGTCCTCGACTGGGGCATCATGGGTGTTGGCATCGGCACCTTCCTCGCATCCTGCACCGTTGCAGCTGTTTCCTTTGCCTGTATCCTCCTGCTGCCGCCTCCCCAGGGCAAAGGAAAGATTGTTGTTTTCCCACCCATCCTGTCGTTTCTGGCTCGGAAGGTCGCCGTGCCGCAGGTTCTGCTCTGCCGAGCCTTGAGCCAGCGGGTTTCCCGGACCTGCTCGAAGGTTCGGGTGGGTGGTGCGGCATCCTTGGCAGACGCTCAGATGCTGCTGCTGGATGGGAGGGAGGGGGAAGGGGCTGGGATGGAGGTGGGCGGGATAGAGGAGAGAGTACTGGCGGCTCTTGGAGGGAGAATGTTCAAGGCGGATGGAGGTGCTGTTTCAGCGTATGAGGTTGATCAACGGCCGGATGGGTGTGGGCGTGGAGATAAGGCGGGAGAGAGGGACGAGCAGGCAACCAGAGTGGGAGGTCGGGAGGAGGAGGGAAGGGATGAAGAGGGAGGGGATGAGGAGGGAAGGGGGGAGGATAGGGTGGGGAAGGAAAGTGAAGCGGAGGAGGGATGGAGGAGGACTCGAGTGGGTGATGCAACGCATAGCAGGATGGTCGCAGAGGAGCCTGAAAACGAGGGCGATGGGAATGCTTATAACGAGGACATGCTTATGGGCGGGGATGGAAGGGGCGCGAGGGAAGGGGGTTGTGCAGAGTGTGTGGAGGTTAGAGTGGTGGTGGGGAGGGAGGAAACTTTCGCGATTCTGCTTTCAAAGACTGGGAAGGAGGAGAGTGTGGAGAGGATAGGGGGTGTGAGGAGGGAGAAGGGAGGGAGTGGGGGCAGTAACATCGGAGAAAGGAGGGGCGGAGAGAAGAAAGAGGGCGTGGAAGGAAAGTGCAAGGCGGAAGAGATGGAGGAGGAGAGGGTGAATGAGGTGTTGAATGAAAGCATGTGGACGTTTCTGTGGGACGGATTGAGCACCATTCTTGGAAGCACACTCGTACAGGTGTGTGTGCGTGTGTGTGAGTGTGTGTGTGTGTGTGTGCGTGTGCGTGTGTGTGTGTGCGTGGGCGGGTGGGTGGATGGGTGTGTGTACGTGTGTGTCTGCGCATGTGTGCGTGTGTGTCTGTGCGCGTGCGTGCTTGTTAGTGTGGGTGGCTTACCAAGTCCCGTGAATGCTCCCATCCACTTGCACACCTGTGCTGTGACATCACGTATTTTAAACCCTCGAATGCACAAGTTTCTGCTGCACCCGTCCCTGTGCACGCCCCAGCTAAAAGCAAACCGCCTTCCTTCTCCTGTCGCTCGCACACCCTCTCTGTGTCCCGTGGTGCAGCTCTCTTTCTTCCTCGTGCTCGCCTGTGCTACCTCACTCGGGGTGCATGCTGTTGCAGCACATCAGGTACATGACCTTCCCCTTTCGCCCTCCACGTTTTCCCCCCTCGAATTCTTTCTTCCTCGTACTCACCTGTGCCACGTCACTCGGAGTGCATGCAGTGGCAGCTCATCAGGTACATGCCGTTCCCCGTTCGCCCTCCCCTTTTCCCACCCTCCACTCTCGTTTGACCACAATGCTGCAACCCCCTGTTGAGCTCACAGGTTCCATGTTCTTCCACCCCTTGTTTTCCTTCATTTTCCTTCTTTTGCCACAATTTCCATTCCTTTCCCTTTCTTTTGTTATTTTCCTTTTCCTTTCCCTTCGTTTCCTTTTGTTCTCCTTCGTTTCCCGTCTTTTTTCTTCGTTTCCCTCCTTCCTCTTTCCCATTTTTCCCGTTACTTCATTCCCCGTTTCCCGTGCCCCATGCCGCATGCCCCCTGCCTCCTCCATACTCCCCAACTGCAGATCCTAATGCAGCTGTGGATGGTCAACATATACATCGCAGACAGCTTCGCCACGGCCGGCACCATCGTGGCCAGCAGCCTAGCGGGCAGGATGGCGCAGGCACGCACCAGGGGGGAGCATGCAGCGCTGCTGGCGGACCTTAGGCTCACCTGCTGGCGCGTGCTGCACATGGGGCTGCTGGCAGGTGAGGGAGGGGCTTTGAGGGACTGTAGGTGGCGTTAATGGTAGGGCAGATGACTTTTGAGAGGCCTCAAAAGGGAGGGGCTACATCAATTGGAGGTTGCGTGTATGGTAGGGGAAATGGCGCAGGCGCATACCAGGGGGGAGCATGCCGCGCTGCTGGCGTGTCTGAGGCTCACCTGCTGGCGCGCGCGTGCTGTGCATGGGGCTGGTGGCAGGTGAGGTAGGGGGAAGGGGAGGGTGGGCAGGTGATCATTACTGTAGGTGCGTCAAGTGGCGGGGAGGATGGCGCAGGCGCAGACCAGGGGCGAGCATGCAGGTGCTGTAGGGGAGCCTGAGAATCTCTTGCTGGTGAGTGCTGCGAATGGGGCTGGTGTCAGGTGAGGGAGGCGAGATGGGAGTGAGGGCAGGTGAGGGTTGTTGTAGGTTCACTTCACTCTATAACGGAGCAGTTTACCTCCTCCTAAAGCTCATTCACCCATTCTCATCCTCGCCTCTCTCCCCCCCCCCCGTACCCTGACGCCCCCTCTCGTTTTCCAGGCATCCTCATCTGTGCGGCATACACATCCCTGGAGCGCCACATCGTTGCGCTCTTCACATATGACGAGGCCACCAAGGCGCAGCTGAGGCACGTGTGGCTCTTCCTCGCGCTCATGCAACCACTCAACTCCGTGGTGAGTGGATGAACTATTCTCCACGCACCCACTTCTGTTGTGATTCTTCTTCCACCTCTCAACTCCATTTTGAGTGTTCTCCCCCAACCCCTCCCCCCCCACTCTTCCTCCTTCTAATATCCCTTCCCCGCCCTCATCGCTCTCTGTTCCCCCAGGTATTCGTGTACGATGGGCTCATCTATGCGGCTCAGGCCTTCTCCTACATGGCGGCGTGCTTGGCTGTTGGCTTCTTCACGCTCTTCCTTCCTGTCGTCTGTAAGTGTCCTTCCTTCCACCTTTTCTGCTTCTCTCTACTGGTCATTGATGCCAGCAATGCCATATTTTGCCCTCAGTTCCTCCGCATTAGTATATTTTTTCTTCCATTCCCGTTTCCCTTCTGCTCGCTTTATCCTTCTCCTCCCTTTCCCTTTTCGCCTTTCCCCTCTCTTCCCGTTTACCATCGTTTCCCTTGTCCACCTCTCGTCGTTCTCCTTTCCCATCTCTTTCAGTTCCCCCTCCCTTCACACCGCTCTTTTACCTTCTCCCTCTTCTTTTCCTCCTCCTTCCTCTCCCCCCCGGCATCCCTTGCCGTTTTCCCTTCCCATTCCACCAACTCCCTCTTCTCCATCTCCTCCCCTCCCTCCCTTCTCCCCACCACCTACAGCACTTGCCTTCTTCCACTTCAAGACACTTCTGGCCGCGTGGGCGGCAAAGGGGGTGGTCCACACGATGACTTCTGAGTCGGCAGCAACTTAAATCCTCCATCTCCTTCCCTCCATGCCTCCTCCCCCTTCCCCCCCACCCCCCACCCCCCACCCCACCCCACCTACAGCACTTGCATTCCTCCACTTCAAGACGCTTCTAGCCGCGTGGGCGGCCAAGGGGGTGCTCAACACATTGCGCTTCGCGGTCGCGGGTTACAAAGTCCACTTCGATTTCCTCTGCCCTGATGCATCACACCTCCCACCTCAACCGTCCACTGACCCTCAACCCCACAACAGTGCACCTCCTCAACCTTTCACTGATTCATCCCACAAGGCGTATCACATGGCACCACCCCAATCATCATCCCACCCTGCCCAGAAACCACCCCCTCCTCCACAGCCTCCTCATGTGGCTCGACATAAAGGGAACATCACCCCCCCCAGTTGCTGAATCCCCTCAGAGCACAAGACACTTCACGGACTCTGCCGTGTGTATACCCACTTGAGAGTGCACCGTGCTCCCACTCATACTTCGCGTGTTCCACTCGAGACGAGAACTACCACCATGACGGCCTTCTCGCCCTTCCCCAACCACTCATGCTACTCGTCTCCTCCTTACGCCCATCACCAGTCCCGCTGCTCCCTGGTGCCTGTACCTCCTCCCACCGCACACGACCACTTGACGAGCAGCTCGTTGGCAAAGCCAAACCCCGAAGATCGTTGCAGCAGACGATAGCATTTTACTGTACATAGGTTAAGAAGTGCCCGTCAAATACTGTACCATGAAACTTGCCATTGTTTTACGCAGTGCTTGCCTTGAAATGAAACCCTGATGTATTTTTCATTAGCATGTTGAATGTGGTATGGTACGGTACTCATGCCCCTCTATTCATGCTAAAGGTCGTCCCTACGTATGCTGTTGCAAGTGTGATTGTGCCTTTTCTCTCTCAATCTCTTTCGTTGGTGCTTCCACTTGCCTGGCCCATCAAAAGTATCCATCGTCATCAATATCCTTTCAAGCTCCATGAAAATAGTGTTTCTTCCTAGTCTAATTTAGCCAGCAAAATGCTACAGTAGCTGTGTAGATTTTACGGTAGATTAACGAGCATGCCTTTCTAGACACAAGTGAAGTAGCATCCTGACCAGATGCTGGGCAGGGTGGTGTGCGGCAGGGTGGTGTGCGGCAGGGTGGTGTGCGGCAGGGTGGTGTGCAGCAGGGTGGTGTGTGGCAGGGTGGTGTGCTGTGCTTGCAGTGCAGAAGTCGTCAGGAGGACCTGAAGAAAAGGCTTGACAACAGCGCTACTGGCACAATACACATTTCAATAAGTCAAAGAAAAAATATACAAGAAAACGTCACTAACATGTTACGGGTTACACAACGTGGAAGTAACACTCTGGCTTGGTGCAGGGGGAGAAGGGCAGCGTGTTGGGGGCGACCATAGCCTCTGTGGTGATGGTGAATGGCTTCTTGTACGAGTCCTGCTTGAAATCGGCCTCTATGAACATCGCCCTGTACCCCTCCTGCATCACACAGGTGAAGGGCAGGCGGAAAGGGCAGGCAGAAAGGGCAGGCGGAAAGGGCAGGCAGAAAGGGCAGGCAGAAAGGGCAGGCAGAAAGGGCAGGCAGAAAGAGCAGGCAGAAAGGGCAGGCAGAAAGGGCAGGCAGAAAGGGCAGGCAGAAAGGGCAGGCAGAAAGGGCAGGCAGAAAGGGCAGGCAGACGGTGGACATGTGAGGCAGTAGGAGATACCGTAGCACCCATGGGTGTCGAGAGCAGCGGATAGCCTCCCTGGTGATGGTGATAGTGATGGGCTTTCTGTGTAAAGGGCTTCTTGTGCGGGCCGTGCTTGAAATCGGCCTCCATGAACACCGCCCTGTACCCCTCCTGCATGACAAAGCGCAGACAGAAGGAGGGCAAGTCAAGCAGTGGGAGAGAAAGCGACCCATGGTGTTGGGGGCAGCAAAAGGGTGAGGGTGAGGATGAGGGCCTTCTTGTGCGGGCCGTGGTTGAAATCGGCCTCTAAGAACACCGCCCTGTATCCCTCCTACATGACACATGCACACGCACACTCACCTTGGGCATGTCAGTGGTGGTGGCGTGGAAGCGCTACAGCCTAGGCTGCGCACACAGCATCCAGTCCCAGATGAGCTGCCACCTGCTTGTATCGAGTACAAAGTGCACATAAGCACACTCACACACACATGCACAGTCTCACTCACACACTCACCTTGGGCACTTGAGTGATGGTGGCGTGGAAGTGCCACAGCGAGAGTTGCGCACGCAGCATCCACTCTCATATGGACTGCTGCCTTCTTGTATCAAGTACAAAGTGCACATACACACGCTCACACTCACACACTCACCTTGGGCACATCAGTGATGGTGGCGTGGAAGTGCCAGAATCCATCGTCCCCCGCCCTGGGCTTTGACACGTTCACAGTGACAAACGGTATGGGCTGCGCACACAACATGCCGAACTTGCCGGGTTATGTGAAGGAGGGCATTTGGAAGGGCGCCACACTGGGGGATGGGAAGGGAGGGTGGAGGTAGGTGTAAGGGGTTTGGAGAGAGGGGTGGGCAGGGAAGCTTGTTGAAGAAAGTAAGGGATTACAAGGAGTGTGGAAGCACACAAAATGGCGAACTTGACAGGACTTGTGAAGGAGGGCATTTGCAAGGGGGCCACGCTCAGGGTTTGGGGGCGGGATTGGGATGAAAAAGGGAGCAGATATAGGGGGATGGGGAGGTGGAAAAAAAGAAATAGTGTGAAAGCGCATTCAGCAGGCAAAATTTGCCTGGGTGCGTGAGTGAAGGAGGGCATTTGGAAGGGGGCCACGCTGAGGGGCGGGATGGTTGAAACGGGAGGGTGAGTGTTGCAGATCACACGCAGTCTGGAGGCAGCATGATAACAACGAATACACCGCATGATGGGTCACACCGCATGATGGGTCACACCGCATGATGGGTCACGCCGCATGATGGGTCACACCGCATGATGGGTCACGCCGCATGATGGGTCACACCGCATGATGGGTCACGCCGCATGATGGGTCACGCCGCATGATGGGTCACGCCGCATGATGGGTCACACCGCATGATGGGTCACACCGCATGATGGGTCACGCCGCATGATGGGTCACGCCGCATGATGGGTCACGCCGCATGATGGGTCACACCGCATGATGGGTCACACCGCATGATGGATCACACCGCATGATGGGTCACGCCGCATGATGGGTCACACCGCATGATGGGTCACGCCGCATGATGGGTCACGCCGCATGATGGGTCACGCCGCATGATGGGTCACACCGCATGATGGGTCACACCGCATGATGGGTCACACCGCATGATGGGTCACACCGCATGATGGATCACACCGCATGCCCAACTGGCCTAATCTTCCCCCTTCCAGCCCTTGCCTTTGACCAGCATCCAGCACCACCTGTCACATCACATCCTCATCCCTCATCTGTTCGTAGAGCAGTTTCTCCGAATTGCTTTACCCTACCTGACCCAGAGAGAGTAGGTGGTGGAAGCAGGCTTCAGCAATCACGTATTCGGAGCAGTTCTGATGCTAGGATCACGGACACAAATTGCATCCGATCGTGTCGGGAGTGGTGTTTGGCCCCGTCGTCGCTTGGGCAGAGCCGACCTCGTGGTCGGATGTGCGGGAGGTGCAGCTGGCCTGCAGCAGTGGGCGAGCTGGTCGACGGGGCTGGTCGACCTGCACGGGGAGTGCAAGGGCGCCAACTTCGGGAGGGCGCCGACTTCGGGAGGTCGACCTGTGGAGGGCGTCGACTCAGTGACGCCGACTTGGAGAAGCCGACTTGGGTGGTCGGCTGACAGGTGTGCTGATCGACCTGGAACTGGTCGACCAGGTGCATGGTCCACTTGGTGTGGTCGACCAGTGCTGGTCGTTGACCTGGGTGGTCGACGGGCACAAGGAGGAGCCGGTCGACACGGTGGTTGCCCGGTCGACCAGGTTACCCGGCCGACGGGCATCTGCGGAGGCACGCGACGGTCGCCCAGGTGGTTATGGCGAGACCGACCTCGGTGGTGGTATCCCGAGGTCGACGTGGCTGATCAGGAGCAGTCGTCGGCACGAGGACGATTTGGTGTGTGCGCCGTGGAGGTGTCAAGACACAGCCCGCCAATCATCTGCGAGCACCTGCGAAGCGGGTGCGCTGATGTCCTGCGGATGCATCGCTGTGCAGCCGCCTTGCTGCAGCGATGGCACGCCGTCGACTTGCAGTGTTGGCAGGCCGCGACTTTGCTCTGCTGGAGCGCGTTCGACCAAGTCGTGCTGGAATGCGGTCGACCGTGCTGCGCTCGCAGTCGACCAACTTGCATGCTAGGTCTGATATAGTCAGTCTTGCCACCTTTGTTGCTATTATTCTAAACCATTGTTGTTAACTTTTCCCAGTGAAACTCTTGCCAATTTCCCCCATGAACTAGCAAGTAGTAAGAGCACAAGGAAACGACTAAGGAACGAACGCAGAGATCACTCCTACCCCGTGCCTAGCCCCTAGTCTAGTTCCCGTTGATTAAGTTCTCTCCGCGGATTGCATACCGAAGTAAGAAGCTACACGACGCAGAGTTAAACTACCCAATTCATGACAAGGAGGTGCTAGCGATTGTTACAGCTTTCAAGCGTGGAGGTGTTACCACGAAGGAGACAAAACGACAGTCTACACTTACAACTGCAGGCTAAAATACTTGAAGTCACTGTCTACTTAGACTTTTTGACTTCCAGCGCGCTATTCTTTCTGTCTTCATCAACACCTTCCCGGAGAGGACTGGATGGGTAAAGAGCCACGACATCAACACCTTCCTAGAGAGGAATGGATGGGTAAAGAGCCTGAACACCGTCGGGGGCCACGACACCACGCTGATCCTGGTACATAAAACTCCAGTTCCGCATCTCGGTAGAATCCCCTTGTACAGTTGTTGAATTGGCGTACCGATGGGAATGGAAGAAGTCGGTAACCATTTCGAAGAAACAATTGCACAGTTGCGCGCCGAGCATGAAAAGACTCG